GAAATTACTGATTAAAAGATTGTTTTTGGGACGCGTGTCCCAAAAACAAAAATTACAATACATTTCATAGTAAATATCCATGTAAACGTCTTCAAACTTTGTATACTTACTAATTTCGAGGTGGTCATTTTAGTGATTTGGTTCATTTCTTAATTTGGGCACTTTTTAACACTCGTCTCCAGTCCACTCATCAACTTCGGAATGGCTAATTAATCCGAAAACACCGAAAACAATTACCGAGTGATGACCGCCAACCCCCATCCAGCCCCCCCCCCCCACCCTACCTTCTACGTACGCTCCTGAGGTCCCCACGGATAAACGAAAATGATCAGTTGTGATGCTGTCATGCGATACTTCATATAGTAACAATGACATTGAAAATGTAAACAAACGTGAAAGATGGCATGACGCAATGGCGTCCAAATATTTTGAATCGTGGCTTCCTGCAGCTTTCGGTTTATATATAGACATAATTTTTTTTCAACGATATTGCGTATGTGTTTATGAACAGCTTGTAAGGAGTGCTTTTGGTAGCGAAAAATTGGAATGTATGGCTATATCATGGTCAAGGTATAGAAGTATTATGCCGAAATACTATTGGTCTTTTGTAGTTGCCTTTTCAATGACTATGTTTATTGTTTTATATTATTGTTTTAATGAGGACGCGTTAACAGATGACGCTTCGAATAACAAATTTAGTGTGTTTAGAAATATAGAATTTGTCGACAGCCAAATCTACAATACAGATAGCGTGGCAAAATATTCACACGAGAACGAATTAACTACTTCAAAATGTAACAATTTATATGAAACAGCCTTGGATATGCTTTATAACGGCGAGCAAGTCCCTTTACCGTTTGAAACTAACAGTACAAGATGGACTTTTCATAAAAGAGGCAATCTCGATTATCTCAGGCCAATATATAGGCGATGGAGCAAGCCTCAGAGCAATTTTAGCTCTAGGGATTTTAGTGATTATGGTGAGACTAGATCCAAGGATATAAAAGCTAAAAAGTACTTTGTTACATTTGCATGTAATTGCTGCGAAAAGTCCAAAGTGAAAGCTACCAGATCGGCTCGAGATCCGGGCGGCTTTGACTTTGCAATAGTTCACGGTATAGACTCTCTTAGTAAAAAGTTCAGATACACTCATTCGGCCATTTTAAGGCAGGACCGTGGTTGCGGTTATTGGTTGTGGAAACCTTATATAATTTTGAAGACTTTTGTTGAAAGTATGTCGGATAACGACCTGTTAATGTATCAGGATGCGGGTGCACACCTAATTGGAGATGCAGGACCATTACTAAAGCTGTCCCAAGAATTAGACCCAGGGATTGTTGTATTCCACACCCGCTTTTTAGAAGACATTTACACCAAACGAGATGCATTTGTACTTATGGACATGGATGATGCGAGGGTTTACGAATCCTACCAGCGCCTCGCTTCGTTTGTGATATTGCGGAAAAATTGCCAATCGCTGCAGTTTGTAATGGAATGGCTGGCCTATGCTTCCGATCCTCGTATCCTGACCAATATTGATAACCAAATGGGCAAGCCGAATCTCCCCACTTTTAAGGAGAACAGGCATGACCAGACGGTGCTGTCTTTGCTCTCCAAGAGATGGCAACTAGATGAGTTTAGAGACCCAAGTCAGTATGGGAGTATTGACCAGAAATTAATGTATGCTCTTGGCCCATACAGACAACTTATTTTTCATACCAGAGATACAAGTTAGGTTTTGACACTTGCATCATTAGATGTTTTTACCCTTTTTGAAGGCTAAAATGAAAGCATTCCGTTTACCTGGAAAATAATCTCGATAGCAACCTCTCTAAGACTATTGGTATTAGGCAGGTTGGCAAGCTAAATTTTGAAACCTAGAGTTTCCAAAACGACTTTTGCACTGTCCTAGAGAGCAGGATTTAACATGCAGAAACCAGATACAATCATAATAAGTCATGTATTATATCCAGCTGATATAATTAAAATTTTGTGCAAACATTGAAACATGTTTTTTTGTCCATGGATGGCTGCAGTCAATAGTACTAGCAACTAATTTAAATTACTGGTATCTCTGGATTATGACATTGTGTCACTATTGAGCACCCGAGTGCTCTCCCCTTGACACGTAAAATTGTCTGACGTTATATAGACAGGGTAAAATAGTAAAGTCGGCAGCATTGCAGTGCAATGCCATCTAATGAGCTAAAACCATTTAAAATTCCATGACCATATTTTTCAAAATCTATGACCAAACAAATGCCAAATATCCAATGAAAACAGTCTGGCCAAACCCTTACATGCGGCAATAGAAACGTAGCATTCACAATTTGCTTGCAAAAATACTTATGTCCATTAATACGAGCAAGAATAGGGCAGAAGATACAAGAACCTCGGGCAACCAGGGTAAGGATCAATCCTCTGGGATCAATCTGGATATTTTCTGTTGCAAGTGAGATTCAGCAAAACTGAACTAGCAGGTCAGGTTTCCCTTACATTAGCAACCCCTAAGCACAGAAGCCAGAGAAAAAGTACTTCATCCCATCCAAGGTTTTCTCTGACTACCCTCTCCAAATCCCCCTCCCTCCCATCCCAATTGCCCTCCCTTCCTCCCCAAATCTCTGCCCAAATATCTCTCCCTCCCCAACCCCCTACCTCCCCAACCCCCTACCTCCCCATATATCCCTCCAAAATCCTCCAACCAAAATCTCCCTCCCCAAATCCCCTTTCTCCCGCCCAAGTCCCCCTTTCTCCCTCCCCCCAAATCCCTCCTCCCTCCCCAAATCCCCCATTCTCCATCCTCAAATCCCCTTCCCTCCCCAAATCCTCCTCCCTATCCAACTCCTCCTCCCTATAGTATCCATTGAGAGTTGCTACATGTAGGTATACCGTTTCCGTTTTCTCCCTTTTTATCCATTCTTTTGCTGTCTGAAACACAACAACTCAGCGCGCTACAGTCGCTACTAGCTCCCATTTTAATTAACAAGGAACTGAAGGAAGTAAGCGAGTCTGATTCTATGCCAGATCAATGATTTAATGCCATATTTAATCTCTAGTTAAACACTTTAAGTAAACACCACTGTTCGAAAATTACACATCGTGGGAAATGAAATATCTGCAGCAAACGTTTGCCTTTTTAGGCAAACGAAAACACAAAATGTCAGGAACTGAAACTTAGCCGTTTCCATGGTGTTCTGTGTGGCCTAGCACCGCCCATATTATTTTACGACCCGTCTAGTGACCCATCCTTGACCCACCAATGCTAGGTTTTGTCTTTCACTAGAGTCTCACAAGACAGATTTTATCATGGATACGAAAAAAAATCATCAAGGTACAAAGCACAAATTATACTTTAAATATCAAAATGTGTTTGTTTAAACAGACGTGATATGTTGTCAATCGAGAGAATTTATGTTCGTATGTTGTCGAAGATGTCGATCTATAAAATTTGCTGCAAGTATCTGAAGGAGAATATATTACAGATACTTGGCATGTGGTGTTGTTATATATACAATAAACGTTTGATGTTTTAAATAGTATTTTCTTTTCTTAAACTTAGGTGGGAAAGCTTACGGGGCTCTGAAAAGCAGCCAAGAAGATAAATTGGACGAAATAAATAAAGTATGTTGTGTGTATACTGTAAATCAAAGCATGGCTTCCGTGTGTCGGAATGCAGCCAAAAGCAATTTATTATTTAAGACACTCTTTAGCTTTTAACTGTATCTGTACAGGCTTCTACGGGCTTCAAAAGCCAGGGTATGAATAAAAGTTTAAGGCTTGTACTTGTCTTTTTTGTTTAGGAAGAAGTATCGCCTGTCATGCTTTAAAATTTTGAGCCAAGCGGAAAGACAGCTTTTGACTATTGTGACATTTTAGGAATGAAATTTTTGTTTACAATAGTTTCTTTTAATATAAACTCGTATATATCTGCAGTCTTAGACTGGCATTTTCGTGTTTAAGTAAAAATCCAAGGCCTAGGAATGTCTCGAATAAGAATAAATCCCTTTGGTCGTGTCTTTATCAGTTATTATCACTTTCCGTCTTCGCGGAAGCACGTTTGGATTTTGAAACCAACGTCTTAAATGTAGTATTTAATAGTAATAATTTTAATCCGTTCTCTTGAAGTCATTCATAAATACAGGCGACTACGACGACGAGGAGGAATGGCCCGACTTAGAAGGGACCTTGAACGCGTACAAAAGTAGGTCTATTTTGATTGTATTGCGATAATTTCTGCTTATATAAACACGCGCCGTGGAAGCGATTTAAACGAACAGCAGGGCACTGCTCCCACTTGACAAAATGCGAAATTATAAATACATTGCAATTTGCAACAATCATATTTTGTTCTAATTGATATTAATTGTTTCGTTCAGAACAGTTTATGGAATTCGACGAAGACAATTCCGGCGACATAGGTAAGTTCTGTGTTTTATATCTGATATTGACATATGGAGTGTTTGTTTGTAGTATGTCTGTGTTGATCATGAGATGGTTTAAAAGAATTTAGTAATTATGCTAATCATGCCGAAATTACTGGGTTGTTCAATATTTTAATTTCAAAACTAGAAAAATAAGTTCTAAAGCTTTATTTCACTGAATAAAAATTCTATACAGATATCGGTATACAGCGTTGTTCATACGAGCTTTTTCCTGACCATAATTAAACAATCGTTTGAATGAACTTTCCACTGTTACTGGAATCAAACTATAAAGCCAATTCAAATTTGACATGGCATTTTGGTATGTTAATCAAAGCTGTGATAAGCGCTTTATTAAATCAATGGTCTTGGTTAAGCAGGTCAGCCCAACTCCATGTGAAAAGCCCCTAATTTATGCATTAATTAGTCTCAGGATGGGGAACTCAGGGTTTGTACGGGTCCTGGAAAACCTGGAAAGTCGGAAGAGGTTATTTTGCTGGCCTCAGAGTGACAAAACGTAACAAAGCAACGGTTTTACTAACACCAAACCTATTCCAAACACCAACTCTAACCATAAATCATAATCCTAACCCTAACCTAACCCTACTTCAAGTTTGTTTCTAAACCAAGCTTGAACAAAAATTTTTTGATGAAATGTCATTCTGAGGTCAGCGAAATAACTTTTTCCTGGAAAGTCATGGAATTTCAATATTCCAAAATCCAGGCAGGCTGGAAGTCCTGGAAAATCAATTTTAGTCATGGAAAGTCATGGAAAATTGAAACTTTACATAACATTAACAAAGTATTTAAACTTATTTCAATTTGCCAGTCATAACAATAATATGAATTGTTATATAACAGATTTTTGCAAGAGCGATTTGTTATATAACAGAATTATGAATTGTTATATAACAGATTTTTGCAATTTTGTTCTTTTCTCTGTTATCTGATTTTATCTGTTATTGTTAAAATGTTAACGAATTTCAGAAATTCCAGACTTCCAGGTCATGGATTTTGAAAAAAATGGTCATGGGAAGTCATGGAAAAGTCATGGAATTTTAAATGGGAGAAGACGTACGAACCCTGGGAACTTTTCCTCAATAACATCTATTTTTGAAAAGACTTTCAAGAATGATTCAAATAATAACTGATAATGTTAACAAGCTGTTATTCACACTAATTTTCCCATAAAATTCTCAAATTCCAAATGTGTCTATGGGATTTGAAGATTGGAATAATTTAGGCAAAACTTAAACACTATATCATGTCTCAAATTCTCCAATAAGAAAGCTAGGTTTGTACCGCAAGGGCATGACATTCATTGAATCACCCCTATGTCATCCTACTTGATGTAACAGGTAACATACTGTACCTCTCATGACATATTTATTCCCTGGTGCTACATGTTGTATTTTTGAATGTAAACAGTCACCCGGGATTACTATAAGTTTTTATAATAGCCGGGATCTCACTGTTGGCATTGCCGATTAACTCGCCTTGCCAGTAACTCGCCTCCATATAAACAGGCCCTAATTCTCAGAGCATAATTTTCTTGAATCATAATTCACCTGGTATGATCAAAATGATATGTAACAGCTCAAAAATACATACAAATAAGTTTTCCTGAATTTCCCGGCGCTTATTCTTGTATTTTGATGACATTTTGTAATGTAATTTAACGTTTCAAATGACTTAAATCCTTTTTATGTGTATTGGCGCCATTTCGGCATCATGTGGCAATTATGCAGCAAATGCAGAATAACTCGATTCCATATAAACAGAGTGCTCTTTTGTCCCGGTTGGGCGAGTAACTTGCCTTGCCGAGTAATTCACCTCCATATAAACAGGCCCTTAATGTGCAAAACTCTGCAATATATATTAAAGAAGCAATGAACAGTCCTTCAGAACAGGAAGTGCAGAATATCTATCATTGTTTGAAGCAGACTTTGATGATGAAAATGATGACAGAGTTTTTTGAAAACCAAAACTTTAGGCTTAAAAGTTGTTTGATTTCCACTTCAGTCTTCATGCTTCACGAAATGTGGGTCATTAATAGGTCAGATTTTTTTCAATATTTTTTTACTCAAAATTATAGCTTATTATTTTTTTATTCAAGTACCCTCCATCATTAAGTAGATTATAACATTTGGTGCAAAAAGAGATTCTCCCTTATTGTCGGTCATGTGTGTCATAAAATGCACATAAATTTCAATGAATACTGACGTTTGTCAGTCTGGAAGTGATTTTTAAATGTTTGTTAAAGCTAAAACACATTAATTGTATGTATAAAAAAGGTCGGTGTCATGAGATACAGTCATTCAGGAAACAGGAACCAGCATTTTTTTAGGTTTTTAGCATACTTTAGGTCTGAGATTTGGGTTCTATTGAAAGGAGTCTGTCAATGCTCTGCTGAAGGTTGTGAGTTTTCTTTGGTTGCTCCAGTTTCCTCCCACAGGAAAAGTTGACAGGGTGGGTTGGGACAGACCTAGTTAGGAAATTATATTACAATTGTTGTAAAAGATAAATGTCTAGAATAAGTACTGTAGGTAAGATACATGTAAGTAAGCATAATACTTGATGAACGTGTACTCATGCACCAAGTGAAACGTCCCAATCAGGAGTGAGGAGGCCCACCAGGGGTGTGTTCCCAGGTCGCTTGTCACTCATTTTGTAGCTGCTTTGTCGCTTGTTTTATTGTAATAAATATCGCTATCACTTTTCACCCATAACACAAATCGCAATTTTTTCCTTTTTCCCAGTCAGAAGCTGTTGTTTATTACTTTATGTTGCATGTCGGTCATAACTCCTTGGTAGGCATTATTCCATTAGTGAGACTGCTGTTTGGGGTTTACAGTATGCAATGGCAAATGATGTTAACATGGCCTTAAAACGATGTGCAATCTCTTGAAAAAGCTTAAGTTTGGTTTCCGTATGGTCGTAACTGTCGCGAACGTGTTGTAACTATCGCCAGAGTAGTGTTCGCGACCAAATGGAAACATGAAGAAAACTTTCGTTGCGACACGCTGGCAACAGTTCACTACAGTTACGACAGCGTCGTCGAGATAGACTCGAGTTTTTTTCTCGACGACAGTTGCGACAGGCTAAAAACCTGTCGTGACGGTTATTTTTTAATGGAAACAGAAAAACGACAGCGTGGCAACAGTTTTGTGACAATCGGGGGGGGGGGGATAGGTCCTCTTTTTAAACCTGCCACCAGCTCTTTGTACGATACCTGGGTACAAAATTAACTTGCGACAGTGCACGACAGTGTCATGACAGTTACACAACCATATGGAAATCATAGGCAGCCCAATGTTATGGTTGCCTGTGCGCGGGCAAGGCATATAGCTATAGTTGTATTATTTCCTAAGGTAGGCAAATGCAATCATGCAAACTATACCGATACATATACCTTCAAACAATCCAAAATACTTCAAATATCTTTACAACTACCCTAAAATAATAACGAAAATAAAATCTACGATACTTTTACCATATACTAACAATATTTTAACGTAAAAATAAAAGATAGTTAAAACCGTCGAAATGACAGTCAATGAGTTTGGGAATTCGTCATTTGAAACGCCATCAAAAACTTCGAGCGCGGGTCCAGCATCGTCCCATTCAAGAATTGAACAAAATTGCATAAACGTTTCGTATTTTTCTCGCACTACAAATTTGTTTTGTACGTTAAAATATTGTTAGTATATAGTAAAAGTATCGTAGATTTTATTTCCGTTATTATTTTAGGGTAGTTGTATACATGTATTTTAAGTATTTTGGATTGTTTGAAAGTATATGTATATATCGGTAGTTTGATTGCATTTGCCTACCTTAGGAAATAATACAACTATAGCTGTGCCTCGCTCGCACACAGGCAACCATAACATTGGGCTGCCTATGATGGAAACAAGCATAAAAATCATTCACGACAAACAGTTCACAAATCACAACACGTTCACGACACGTTCTTGATAGTTAAAAGGAAACCAAGGCTTTATAGCAAAGTTCGAATTTATGATGCAATACTACTATACCATATAAACAGAGCCTTCCATAATAAACCATATGCTCGGCCTATTCATAACTATATGCTGCATACGAATTGGTCATAAAATGAAAGTCCATTCGAAAAACTGAACACTGAATTATATAACAAGTTTGTATGTAAATATGTTTTAAGATATCATGGAATTGAAACGAATGATGGAGAAACTTGGCCAAGCGAAAACACATCTTGAGCTGAAGAAGATGATTGCTGAAGTTGACACCACAAATTCAGGTAGTTTATGCACACTTTTGACAGATTAATTATAGCCCAAGCACCAATCTTTACAGTTGTGGCAATGGAAGTGTTCCTCCTTAAATATTCTGTACCATTTCTAATTCATTTACTCACACAATTCATTTGGTGAGTTCTTTGAAAACTTGATAAATTTCCTGTATTAATTAACCAATCATCCTTTGGCTCTGGTGCAGACGTGCTGTTGACCAATCATAAAGATCAAATCAAAGAGGAAGTGACCAGAAATTATTAAATACAAGAAGTTGCAGATAAATGGTGGTCAAATGTCTAAATGAGTTGGCTCGTGTGAGCAAATCAATTGGTAGAATATTTTAGGAACACTTCCATTGCTTAATGATCGACTGCAGACTCGGTACAAGTCGACCAATATTATTTAGCTGTGCCGTTGAGCCAACATTTACTACAGTGCGAATTTTAGCGATGGAGGTTTGCCGAGTCGACTCACTGTGTCGCTCGGTTAACTTTAATAATACAGAACAATATTTTTTTAACAATTGCTTCGTTTATATTCAGGAACTATTACATATGACGAGTTCTTGCACATGATGCTGGGAAAGAAATCATCAATTCTGAAAAAGTGAGTGGCCATTTATGCCTAACCTTTACATGTATGGTATAATTCATTTGAGATGGTATGATTACGATAACTCATGCTGCACCAAAGATTTATTATCTAAAAATTCTTCATATGCCGGAAAAATTAAACCCCGGTTATCACCTAGTTTGAAGCACAAGGAGAAGTAAAATTTACAATGAATATCAATTAAAGCTGCGTTTACACGATGCGATTTGTCGTCAACGATTCGTAGCCTGTGTAATCGAATAAGCACGTATAAAGTGGTTGCATTTCAAATTTCGCCATAGGGGAGTTTACGATCTACGACGCGGCCGGCTCGACGACGCGCTTTCAAAACAAAGAAATTTGGTGTTTCCACAAACAATAATATTATGTGTTTTATCGCCATGCAAACCTACAAAGAACTTACAAAGAAATTTGTCATGCAAGACAAAAACTGTCAATAATTTGTGGTCCCATGAGTATTGTCAAACGCGTTGTCATTCTCAACACAACGTTAAAAAGCATTTTTACGTCTTTCAGGCAACGCGAAAGCTTAATGCGACACAAGAGGTGTTACTAAAAGTCGAAATTACAGCAAACATTGCAATGATTTAGCCGAACATAGCATTTTGTAAGGTTATTTGAAAGAGTCAAATATTTATTACAGTAATCGAATTGCTTAGCGCTCATTCTTGAGCTAAAATTTAGACCGCGTCGTTGAGCCGGCCGCGTCGCAGATCGTAAACTCCCTACTGAATGAAGAGGAACTGTGGCGTCACCACTAAATTTCATACGCCAGAATAATTGTACACGACAAATCGCAGCGTATTTCGATTTTGAAAATCAAAGTCCAACGTTCGTTGATGTTTAAGACCAGCCAATCAAAATCCATTACGTTCAATCGTGACCAATCAGAATCAACTACCCAGATCTGGGTAGCGCTGCTGGGGATCGACAAGCATTTCTTTTCACAGACTGCATTACAGCATAATACCACAGAATAAGAAGGGACAGCAGAAGTGTAACTCAAACAAGTATTTGTCCTCGTTTTTACAAGCGATTCGTCATCAATCACGCCATCCTGGCTAGTACAACCGGCACTTTGTACCTACCAAAACCTGATAAAAGCTTCCGGTTGTACCTAGCCAGGATGGCGTGAGCGAGTTAAAATTTTCGTGGACGTAAAACAACAAAGGAATTGACTCAAGTTACACTTCTGCTGTACCTTCTTATTCTTGTGATAATACAGTCTGTACATAAGCTATATCCTTACTGGGAATATAGTATTAAGAGAAACTAATAAATGATGACTTAATTTTTTTTTGTCTAGAATTTTGATGTTCGAAGCTCTCATGAAAGAAAAGGAGATACCAAAAGGCATCCCTCCAAAACGAGACTTATCCAGCTTGCCTTAAATGTATCATATGTACAGAATACACACGACTCAAATCAGAATTTAGCTTCATGAAAATTAACGAATTATAGTTTTAGTTTTGTAATACTAAGAAAATTTGTGACTCGTTCTGCCTACAATTTACACGCATGGCAGAAATTATTCTTAACGAATTTATATTTTTTTCGTAATTTGTGTACATGTAATGTCATTTTTACAAATAAAGGTGGGACTTTTAGTTATTTTGCGTTTGTATTAACCCATGCCTGACGTTTTCAAGATGTTTTCTGTTAATTTTGTCATCAAGGGGGGATTATTATTGATAAATGGGTTAATCAGACTATCCTCTAATATCTTCTGTGAAAGCTGTAATGCGCGCAATATTTTTATCATTTTTAACGGCAAGTTGGTTGTCAAGTTATTTCTCAAAGCTCGCTTGTTAAGCTTCTATGATCACACAATTGGGGTCTCGGCCACTAACAACGTCTGCGCAGGAGGCAAACAATTGCTACGCCCTCGTTTTCTATTGTCAAAAATACTTTACATGTAGAAATTTTATTATTTATTTAAAAGAATTCATGATTCTGATTAGTTAACAGCCAACTGTGAAGTTGTCATATCAACTCAATAATATGAGCTGACCAAATATGGAACTTTTACATAATATCCCATGGAGTGACGTCATAAGTTTGAATATGAAAACAACATTAAACGCGTTGACGCAATGCCAATGACAACTGCCGAAGGAGTGGGGAATTGTGTGACAACATTGTGTCACAATGGCTTCATACAACCGGCAGCTGTTTGATCTATTAAATGAATAATAAGACAATTATTGAATGATATGAAGAATTATCAGGAGGGTCCTGAAGGGGTAAATGGGAACTGAGATTTGCGATAAAATGGGATTTGGGTTACTGGGAATGACAGACACAAAAATGGGAACGGGAAAACCCAAATACCATTATAAAGACAGTAAGTTGGACATTTGAAAGTGAAATAACTTCAAGAACAGCTATATATACAGAGCAATTTTTGATTGAGAGTTTGTATACAACAAGTCCAGGAAAACTAAGTTTAACCGACTTATGGCTCCATGAGGTCATTTTTCTGCTATTGTCACTGGGGTGGTGAATAGGGGTATACAAATCCGCCGATCCGCCCAAATTTGAAGCAAAATCCGCGATCCGACAATGGTCTTGTCTAAATTTGAATCCGCTAAAAGCTCTACAATAAAGTCACAATCCAGGATCCGAACTAAATTGCAAGCTAAATCCACAATCCGAGCCAAAATATTAGATAAGATCCGCAATCCGCTGTAAAATATTCGCCAGATCCAAAATCCAAACAATTTTCTCTGTGTAATATAATCCGGCGATCCGAAAACCTATTCATTCCCCCCACCCACCCGTCAATACAAAATTTCGCATTAATTTGTATTACGCACGGGAAAATGCACCACATTTGGGCCGAAAGGGGTGCATTTTCCCGTGCGTAATATAAATTGATACAAATCTTTGCAAATTTACTAATTTTTACATACTCTTTCTAGCTGTGGTGACGGATTTTGTTCTTCGTGCCTAGATCAAAATTTAGTTTATACAGTGCAATCATCCGTTGAAAGCAGAATTGTGTTTAAAAGTCATCACATAGATGAACCATCTGCTCTGGGATTTTCTTTCAATTTCGGCAGTGGAACTATAGGACTTGATCAAGTTTATCCGCATTTTGTATTTTTGTGTTGTGACGTCACTGGTTGTGCTTAAAGATAGTAGCTAAAAGAAGAAAGTCTAATACCAGAAGTAATTCAACGAAATTAAAGAGGCGGTCAAAAATGCGCATAGGTCTGCGCATTTGCGTGTTTGTTACTTTTTGGGATGCAAACAATTTTATGACACCTAATTATTAGCATGGATAATAAAATAAATGGATAGGACTCTAGCTGACGTAAGCAACTACAACCTAGTTGCAATCTGTGACGTCACGCGTATTGCAAAGTTCTCTGCATTTTTGTTGTTTCGCTATACTTTCCGCTTTAAAAGAGTAATATTGAAGCACATCATAATTGTTTTAAAAACATGCCTAAGCCACGACAAAGTATTCAATGTAAATGTTTTTCGTCTTTGTTTTGTATTTTGTTTACATTTGTAGCTACGAAATTGGCGTCCCCAATTTTAACGAAATTTGGGATGCCTTTTTCACTGTTTAGTGCTTGAAATATTTGCTAAAATTGACTGGGAATACTTAGAGATTTCATCGTAGAATGGCGTACTGTAGTTATATTCATTTGCTCTTTGCCGTAAAACGTTTAGCTGCATTATTATTGCTAAACATACCGTTTTTGAGAATTTGGTTTGCAACTAGGTTTCAACATCCAATCACGCCATCAGCCCATTGAAAACATTAGGTCACGTCAGCTAGTTTCCTATCCATTTATTTTATTATCCATGTTATTAGGTCCTAATATAATGTTGAACAAAGAGAAAAAAGGATTAATTTATCAAGAAGGGTTCGATTTCACGGGCAGTCAAAAATAATTTATTATCAGGAAAACTTTTAAAATTTTGACAACAAATATACGAAAAATGCAGTATTCTAGAAATGTATTTAAAAAAATCGTCAGTATTTTCGACTTCAAAACCTCGACTTTCGACCCTCGACTTTTGAGCCTCGACCTCTACGCCTCGACCCTCGACAATTCTGAAACATTCACGTGTTTTCAGGCGAACGGAAGCATTCGCGGTTTTGGTAACAGATTGACAAGAAAATATGCTTTCGTCGAGATAATTGCGGACTACTGAGTTTGCACAGGGACTAGAGAATATGTGCCAAAGTACGTGATGTTAAATTGAGGTTTGTGTAACAAATTTACGAAGACAAACGAGCCGAACTATATTCTCATATAATAGTGATTAATGTGATATTAACTGATAACATCGCCGGTTTGAATAAATCAGGTTTGATTCGTTTCAATTGGTATTTCGAAATATTGTAACTAATGTTCCTAATAATACAAAATTCCATCTACTATGATAAAGATGTGTTTGCCACCTATAAATAAAATGTACTAGGGACCACTTTGGCACTATTGTATATATGATACTGATTCTACTGAGCTGTTCTAGATCTATAGTCTATATAGTATTCCAGTAGACTGGTAGTATTGGGGACGAGGTTGTATATGTTCGTCTCGGGAAGTTGGGAAACATTGAAACTCTCGCGGGAAAACAAAACCGGATCGACTATTTCCAATTAAATGTTAAATCAAATGTTATAAATGTCTTGCATAAGTAAGCGCTTCAACCTCGTGTTTATATCGTTCTGCATGGCTTAACAAAGCGATCGAGACTGCTTTCGTGGAGCGATTGCAGAATACCTCGCAATTTTTTAAGCTATGCCTTTCAAACATCATGGATACGATGTATTAATATTTCTCATGGTACAGTATATACGAGTAGGCTGGGTAGCTGGATACTACGTGGGGATCAAATTATTCTTGGGTTTCATATGACGTCATAAAAGTGACGCTGGGTCAACTAAAAAAAAACCCAGCCTCGTACCCAGGCGCTTTAAATAATTATAATACATGAAGTATTCAGCTAGGCAGGCGACGCGCGAAGGGGCTGTTGGGAAGGATGGTTCGCCCATCTCTCCCCACTACAATACTTCATGTAAACTCGTCATATGCGCATCACTGTTTGCGCAGTCGATTGTTCGTTTTATACGTGAAATTTTGTATCGTTTTCGCAATCCAGGACACTAGCATCAATACATTTGAGGTTGACCCCCGTCAGATTGACAGCTAGCATAATGCCGTGGTGAAACGCAAGACTGACTGCCATGCTATATAGGTAGCTGTATATTTTAGCGGATACCAGGGTTTATTTTAAGAAAAGTTTAGAACTGCACATATCAGTAGGAATGTTGCGAAACATCACATGTTTGACTGGAGGGTCAAAGGATGTTTAACTGGGGGGGGGGGGTCAAAGGGTTTTTATCTACAGTATATTTAACGTTGTAAATTTATAGTTAACGTTGCAAATTATGATAGACTCTTAATTTGTATATAGGTGGCAGAATAGAGCTTTAAGGTGTGGTTGGGTGGGGCTCGTAAGTTCTGGCAAAGATTTGTTTCACCCAACCACCCACAAAAACTGTTTCAAAACAATTTAAGTTGTAACTGGGAATCATGAATACTCAACTATATAATAACCTTAGGCAGCAAAGAATATTAGGTTCTGTCTGGTTGTCCTCTCCCAGAAAGCATTTAGATTTTTGGTGCTCAATGACAGCCTTTCTGGCATCTGGAGCATCCACAGTGAAAATATTCAAAACAATAAAATCAATAAAAAGAGGGAGATGTGCCAAACCCTGGTTAAAAGTGAGCCAGCATATCTGGGTGACCCATTTTACTGAAGTGAGCTTCCAGTTATAAGTTAGCCTGAAAACAGACCTACGTTTCGCCCGCCCTAAAATTCGCGGGTTGACGGAAAGGGCGAAACCGCGAATTTTAGGGCGGGCGAACAGGCTAGCTATAAGTGGGCTGGCCTAGTTTTGATGTAATGTGAAATTGTGTCATAAAGGAAATTGGTAAGTAATTGACTAAGTTGAGTGCCTCAGTTCAACATGAGCTCCAACTTTGAATTTACTATATGAGTAAAATCGTAAACACGTCCGAATTTATCATTACGATAAATTCGCGGCACATTTTGAATTTATCAATAAAGTTAATTATCAAACCACAAGCATTAGACAAGACTTGTTGTTATAAATGTAATTGCACCAGACGGGAGGCTGGTCGCGCGGGGGTGGGTAGGGCGAATTGGAAAGCGCGTGCAGGGGTGGAAGGGAGAATATAACGGAGATTGGAATTAGATTCGGTGTACCGCAAGGATCGTTTATGTCCTTTATTGTCCCTTTGCTATATAAATGGTATTCAGTGGTGCAATCAATAAACTGATTTTAATCGTATCATTTCAGATATGACACAAACAAACTTTACGAAGCGCTTCAACAGATGATTGGTTATATATATATATATATATATATATATATATATATATATATATATATATATATATATATATATATATATATATATATATATATATATATATAGATATTGCAATGGATACTTGCAAAATTGAGCAATTTCTGAATGAAAAGTTGGATTCCACCGAAGGGTGTGAGGATCAGAAATACTATTATCATTTCAAGTTAGGGCTGGATTCATATTCCTCTAATCAACATGAAGATGCTTTGGAACACTTTGGGAAAAGCTTAAGTATAGCACATGGGTTAGAAGATCGAACTCTACTAGAGTTTTTTGCATATTATGGAATGGGATACTCTTACGCATTGCCTAGGCGCTATGGGCAAACCATCGATTGCTTTTATAAATGTTTGGACCTTTCGAAACTTTTGGAAAGCAGTAGTCGTGGTGGAAGATGTTTTGCTGCTTTTGCGTATATTGCATTAGGTGATGGCGAATTGTTTCTTGGGCGTTCCAAAACGGCATTAAAGTTTTATAAAGATGGATTAGATCTTGCTGCGCAAATGCATGATAAAGAACGCGAGTTGATTGGATATCTAAAGTTAGGAGATGTATACAAGATTGTTTCGCAATATGCCGAAGCGTTGGAGCATTATAAAAAATGTTTGGAAAAATCTGAAGAAAAACCCAACAATCCGATTGTTTTACAAACACGTTTGCAAGCCTTACAGGGCTTGGCTGATGTGTACAAGGTGACAGGGCAGTACAACAAAGGACTCAAACATTATGAGGAATGTTTGGAAATTTTGTCGTCATTAAAGGACGACGAAGATAAATTGAAGCTTCAAGAATCATTAATCTACGCAGCGAAGGGATATTTATTGTGGCATGTTGGCCAGTCTACTAGAGCATTCGAATGTTATGATAAGTGTTTAAAATTGGGTTTGGCACTACATAATAGATCTATCGAATTTCATGCATATCTAGGTTTAGGGTACCTTTTCTTCTTGACTGGAAAGTGTTTTGAAGCAGTCACGAGTTTCGAGAAATGTCTCGAAATTGCGTTGGGAATGAGCGATAAACATCTCGAGGCAACTTCAAAAATAGGACTTGGAGATGTATACATGTTAACTGGAGATAATTCGAAAGCAATAGAATATTATGAACAATCGTTGGAGATTGCAGACGAATCAGAATTGCGCGACACCAAAACACCAGCCCATTTGGGATTAGGAAATGCATGCACCGTGGCTGGTAAATATTGCGAAGGATTACAGCATTTGGAGAAATGTTTGAAGCTTTCTGCAGAAGTTGGAGATCGGTATCATGAGTGCCAAGCGTATCTTGGGTTGGGAGATGTTGATATTTTTGAAGGAAAGTACGAGGCGGCGGTAGCAAACTTTGAAAAAGGGTTGGATATTGCCGTTCAAATTACCGAACGAAATTGCGAGTCTAGGGCAAGGAGAAGTTTAGCTGACGCGCACGTGTTAATTTCACCGGACGAAGACGTAGCAGAGCAGTACCAGACAGCTTTGAATATTGCTGAAGAAATTGGCAATGCATACGAGAAATCGCGCTCTCATCTTGGATTAGGAAAATTACATAAATCAATTGGAAAGTATAAAGAAGCATTGGAACACTATGAAAAAGGATTTTCGTTTGCTGCGGGAATGAGTGGTAGAAATTTACAGAATCCTGCAGACCATATGGGCGCAGACCAAGTTGGCATTAATGAAAATTTCTCAATCTATTACATGAAGGGACTGCCATTTGCGCATCTGTTAGGAAACAGATTTGGAGCGTTAGCAGGGTATTGGGAATTAGGAGATTTATACAATAAATTGAAAAAGTATCAAAAAGCGTTGGAGCTTTTTGAAAGGTATCTTGCAATTTCCGAAGAGACCACTGATTTGAATGAGCAAGAAAGAGCATGTGAGCGTTTGGTAGACATATACAAACAACAACGTCGATACTACATGGTGAAGCAATTCCAACAGAAACTACAGGTGATTGCTAAAGAACGAGAAAAAGCTAACTGTGGTATGTATGCAATGCGGAATTTTGCGTGTGACTTTATCAATTCACTCAACTGCGTCGCATTAGACTTCTCAAAATTTGCTTCATTTTCGTTTATGTATGTTGGTAGCATAATAGTTTTTGCGTATACTCTTTACCTCTTCATTTGGAGTTTTAATCCTTTTAATGTAATTCTCTGATCGATCATAATTTCGGTCGCATGCGAGAAGAGTTCTTCCACCAAAACCCCAGGGTTTCCTCAGGGCGTTCTTCCTCCTGCTGCGAAACTAAACACTAGTAACCAGCAAGAGA